AGTATAGTGCGCCCTGATAGGCATTGCCGCTTCTATTGCCCCATTTTCCCACAAGAGAAGCATCGCCCACTTTGCCGCGTCTTCTGACGGGTAACTCGAAGTGCTCCGATGTCTTGCGTAATTTACTTCGACTTCTTTTTTAACCTGTCCAATCGCTCCCTATCTTTTTGGTCTTCGGTTCTCAATGCTGCCACTGCCTCCTGTACTAGCTCACTTGCCACTCGAACAGGTTTCACCGCACCCGTTCTTTGGGCGGCCTTCCCAGTGCGCAATCCATCCGCCGTCGTCAGAAGTAAACCGTCCAGAAATGGTTCCACCAACAGTTTGCTGTCTTGACGCGTCATCTAAATCTGACTGCGCTCAATCAAACAAGTCGCCGAGATGGACCGCAAACACTAACGCATCCGCTTCTAGCCCAAGCCGGGTGCTCGGCCGGACTGTCGAACCCCGCGATCAGCGCCTCCTTTTCTGTGGCCCATTCCAACAACTGGGCCTATTCTTGCCGCCTTCAAGATCGTCTTCGCCCTTTCCTTGAGGGGCGTCCGGGGTGCCATGGAGGAGTAGCACCTCTGGTCGGGGACCTGTCTTGACCTCCGGGGTAGTCCGCCTATCTTTGGTCTCCACCTGTCACCCAGCTCTCACCTGTGGCTCCAAGAAGCTGCTTGCACGCGGCAGCGGCCACACCCCGGTCAACCGTCAGGCAGACGGGCTAAACCAGGTGAGGTTAGCCGGGAATACTACTCTCGGTGACTTCGTACTCGCGTGCAATGTCAGTCCTGACAACTGGGCGGACGAGATCGACCTTTGATCCAAGGCGTAGAAGTCAAGACAATTTCCCAGATCACTGCAGCCTTGCAGGTATCACTTGGCTACGTAAAGGCTAGAGGTGAACCCTTGAAAAAAGCCGGTGAGGTTGGGGTCCTCATACGTACCCATAATCCCCACGAAACTTTATGACATGTCCGTTACCCGCGATTCTTCTCATGCTACGGCGTTCCCAATAGGCGACGCGCTCTGCGCTAACCCAGTGGTCAGAGTGACAAGTAAGCTAGCTGGGTCCCTCAATCCCCGGAAGCCACTATTCATTGGATGCTTGAATGTCAGAACCCTGTGGGATGTCGGCATCCAAACGGTCGCCACGAGGATGCGTCTAGGATATCAGTCCACTGTGGAAGTTGGGTTACAACATTCCTCTAGAAAAGAGCTAGAACACAATCCCATGTGTCGGTACTTCTGCTTGCAACGCATCGCTTACTTACTAGGATCACGAATAATTTACCTCTTGTTTTGGTTGTTCAGCAAATTTTCTTGATGAATAATCCGACTTTACCGTTTCGAAAAAGAGTGGCTTTACAAAAGTTAGTAGACAGGACCCAATATCACAATGGTAGCTCCTCGATTACGGATAGTAAGCCTGCGTAAGTTCCTAATGAGCCTACAGGTTCTTGGGCCGTCTTCAGATGTGCGAACGCCCTTCGTCTAAGCTGCAGGCTCGTAGCCTGTCTTATAATCTGATGGTGCGAGTTTGAGCCTGCGTAGGGACAGGGTGGCCGTCGCAGTATCTTTAGCCCGCATGCGACCTGTGGTGTGTGCGCGGCAGCGAAGCGTCCGTGATGCGTACCGACGCGCGAATCGTTGCAGCGAGAAGAACAAACCGAGTTCCGCCCTGGTCGAGGCTGCATCGATTAAACCTTCACACTCCTCCAGATCCTCGAGCTCAGCCATGTGTATCAAAGGCTAACGATTACTGTGTTATTGGATATCGGCGCAGCCTTCGATTCTGTCGATCGGACGGTACTGTGGCACTGCATACTGAGGAATGGCGTCCCCGAGAAGTTCGTCTCCATATTGCGCGCTCTCTATGGTCTGACCTCGGGCAGGGTTAGGGCTTATGGCAAGCTTTCGCCTTCCTTTGTGGTCTCCAGTGTAGTTCGACAAAGATGCCCTATCTCTCCGTTCCTATTCGACTTTGCCATTGAGGATGTCCTAAAGAACACTCTGGGCGATTTGTTGAACGCTGGCGTTGAGTTCCTCCCAGGTAGTCGAGTTATTGATTTGCATTATGCTGATGATATCCTCTTGCTGGATGGCGATCCACACGCCATCCAACTTACACTAAACCGCTTGACGATTGATGCATCAAAGTATTGAGTGTACTTTTCGCTATCCAAATGCAAAGCTCTCTTTCAAGACTGGCAGGTACCTGTGCCTACACTCACTCTTGGTGGTGAAACACGAGGTTGTGGAGAAGTTTGTCTACTTGGGAAGTTGTATCACTGCTGGCGGGGCTGTTAGAGACGAAATTTCGATGCACGTCTCGTGAGCAGGCCTCGCTTTTTCTAGACTGAGGCACTTGTGGCGTCACCACGACATTCGTCTCTCCATCAAAGGACGAGTCTATTGTGCAACTGTTCGTGCTGTACTGTTGTACGGATGCGAGACCTGGCCCATTCGTAAAGATGACTTGCGCAGGCTATTCGTCTTCGAGCACCGTTGTCTGCGGTTCGTTGCCCGTGTGTGGTAGCGGCACCACGCAAGCAATGTGGAAGCTAGACACCGTGTCTTGGGGCGAGGAAGCCACTCGCTCGAGGAGCTCGTCTCACTGCATCAACTGCACTGGCTGGGACACGTATTACGCATGCCTGTCCAACGTTACCCGCATGGTGCCTTGTATGCGGTTGCTGGACAGGGATGAAAGAACCGGATTAAGTAAGCTCTGTGTGCACAAGAACATTTATCTGTCAGCCTTTAGCTACCATAAACATAGGAACCGATATCCCGTCATTCTGTTGGTCACACCTACAGTTAGGCACATAAATGCATACCACTTAGTGTCAATGCGGAGCCAATAAGAAATGCGCGCATATACCAGCTTTGTCTTCTTACCGTTATCTTCAAATCTTAATCGTCATTTCTACTGAAGAGCTGGTGAAATTCACTATACATGTCCTTCTTGACCGAGTCACAGCTGCAGCCACTTGGAGCGTACGCACTCATGAATAGGTTGTATTTTTCATCTTGCATGAGCCCCCAAACCTAGCTGCACACCCGGTGTCAGTCGGCTGCCAGTCCAACAGTACGGCATTGGCTTCGCTGCCTAATTCGATTCCATCGCCATCCTCCTCCACTGCGCCCCCTTTTGAGTCACCGGACAGACGCAGATCATGTGTGACTTCATTGTCGGTGTGAGATTCTGACTTTATCACCATACTGGGGTTATGCAGTCGAATTTCGAAATTCCAGCCAATTCCAATAGCGAGGGGCTCTAAAACGCATACCAGACCGACCTGTTGCTTCATCTGCATAAATGTCTGTAGGTTAAATTATTACGAACCGAAGGAGAATCGGGGCCAAAGCCGAGTCAATGGTCGAACTCGATGTACAACAGTTAGACCGGTATCGAAAGCTGATTCATGGAAATATGAAACAACCAACTGATAGCAGGACCTTCTAATGGATACAGTTAGCGTTTGTTGAAGGCACATAAATGTGCGAAACAGGTGCAGTTGAGCAAAACTTCGCAAAAGAACAATCCAAGGTTTGACCAAGCCAATGTAGGACTTCAACCTAGGAGACCTCATCTTGAGCTTTTGGTTTTAAAGCCTACTCGCAAGAATACGGACGAAGTCAGGAAGGTGCATTCATTGGGAGTCTGACTACTTCTTCATTTCACGCTCCTTTGGCCCAGCGAGTTCTGAAATAGGGGTCTTTTTCGTCCAATGAAAGCATTTTCAATCCAACTTACTACTGTGCTGCTGTTCTTGATGACAATGGTCGGAATCACACGATTTTCGAATTGATGGAGAGCTTAATACGCTGGTTCTTAATGTCTACGTAGTTTTACGAATTCTCTCTTTGCGAGAGCGGTTTGTTGTTAACTTATTGATTACGGACAGCGTGCACAGTCCGAGCAGTGTCACCTTTTGGATCAGTAACATCGCTACTGTTTGTTGATGGAATCAAATGACCGGTCGTTTTTGACCGCAAGTTTCCGCGTGGCAGAGCTAGCTTCTGGTGGGACCATCAGGGAGTAGTGTTGCTGTCCACCGGTTTTTGTTTGGCGACACCCGTTGATCTAGTGCCATATCGTTTTTTGCATTTATACCGTATTGTTTCGGTCAAGCACAGATTGTGCCTGCATCTGCTTACATTATTTACCGGTACTCTGCGTGTGGCGAAACTAAGTAGTAATCTTCCTCATATCCATGAACTGGCAAAAGACTGGCCAAAGTTCAGCGCCACTAGTAGGACCCATATTATGGGGAAGTTAAAGGTGTCTGTCCAGCCTGGACGTTAACTGGATCTGCGCTTACCTGCCCTTTTTCCTGACCATTTGCTTAGGCTTCATAAGGAGTAGGTTGCTTTGTATAACGGACACATGTCTTGCTGCTGATACTATGCAGAACATTCGGTTGTGGTCCATTTTTGCTAATCTAAACCCAGATGTGAGTTGTGGCCACACATAATTTCTGCGAGGGATTACCTGCAGTCCCAGAGATCATCGAGTGCTTTGCAAAATGAGTAGCATGGTGAAACCGCAGCATTATTAGCTGATATGCGTCAGGGACAGTGTTGCTATGTTGTGAATGCTCCCACCTGTTCGTCCTCATGACTTTTCTAACTTTTCTGGTCCATATTTGCTAGAGCAACCAATACTGACAAAGAGGACGAATATGGCTGAACTACCAGCTTTTTAACATACCTTTCTCTACTTCACTGTATCTCCTTTATTTGGTATTTGTATTTTTTAACTAAATGGAATTGAACTCCCCCTTCCCACGTAAGAATACACTCCCGTCCGCAATCTCCCTTGTCTCCAATCAATTTGTGATCACCCAGTGACCTTTGTTTGCATGTTATGGGATTGCGATCACTGGTATGTCCCCCCCTTTAGTGCGTAAAATTACTTCCTCTGCCTGTTTGCTGCGCATTAATGAATGGCCTCACTTTCATTTGCTTTGGTGCAGCTATCGATTTAACAGCACGACCTAAGTGTCCGGATGGTTCTCCGCAATTTTTACGTGTTCTCGAGGGGTATGAGTTCGGCTAATGCAGGTAAGTCTCCCGATCTTCACGAATATTATTACTATGGATTTGTCGTATTGTATTTCTTTAGCATTCTTACTTTCCTTGGCTGCTCCCTCTTAATCGACAAAATCCGTGCTCCTCTTTCGTTTATGGTCGGATGCGCTTATCATGCGTTCAGCGCAACACCCCAGTTGATTGCTTGTCACCTAGGCCAACAGGTCTTACTCGATTGCAGTTCTTTCTCCTGTCGCACCAAATATAATCATCATTGTTGCATATGTTTGATCTAATACTGTTGCTTTCAGCTAGGTCATTCTGATTGCTGATCATCATTGCTTGCATTTTCTGTGTACTCACTGACCGTGATGAATCCAGATCTCAGCGTGGCACGTCTGTTCCCGTATCATCTCGTCAGGCTTAGCTACGTTGCACAGTAATTCACAACGGCTTTATTAGGGAGAGTAAAATTTCCCAGGAAAACTCATTAATACAACGGGAAAACAAGTTGATCCAGCGGCGTACAACCGAATCATCAAGTCTTTTCAGGAACCTTCGCATCCATACATTGTGCGCACCAACCTCATTTCCTAGCGGAACTGGCCATTCAGACACATGAACCTTCCTTCCTTGCTTGGCTTACAAATGTGCATGTGGAACGAAATTATACGGGTCAAAGTCGAGTAATCAAGACCAAGCCAATCTGATAGATTGCCTCAGTTGCTTTTGCACGCACAGTACCGGCCGGTTTACCGCAATCAGTAATGCCTCACTGATTGCCAGCATGGATTGCAATCCATCGTACAACATGGAGTGCAGGATCAACTGGAGAGCCGGAACCCCGCCTCGTCCGTTACAACACGCCTCGTAATGTCAGGCCATCACGTGGATCCATCGAAGGCCTTCAAAGTGCTATTGACCATCCGCAACTCGAAAATGCTGGCAATCAGTGAGGCATTATTGATTGCGGTAAACCGGCCAGTACTGTGCGCGCAAAAGCAACTGAGGCAATCTATCAGATTGCCTTGGTCTTGATTGCTCAACTTTGATTTACCCGTATAATTTCGTTCCACATGCACCTACGTTAATTTTTTACCCAAATGTATTATAAATGGTCCATCTCACGCTACTTCTTCCCCTTTCGGTAGCTGCTTCTGAAACACGCTTTTTCCATCAAGTCTTGACTTCTGATTTCCGGCTAGGACTCGGAGCTAGCAGAGAACGAGTTAAGTACAACCGGGATCGCAGGCATTGGTAGAACCTAACAGGCTTTCACAGACATTTCAGCCCCGTCAGTCGTTAACGATCAGGTACGTTCTCTCTCACTACTCCTTATAAGTTGGAGTTCGATTCTCCTCTTCCCTCGGACACTTTTGATTGTGTACGAGTTACAAATTCGGTTGATTTGATGCGGGACACGAACACCAATGAAGGCGGCAACACTTGTATGGTACTTATTGTGTTAGGTGCCGCCTCCTTAAACTCAAGTGACCTTTGACTATTTATGCACAAACCATGCAAAACTCTAGTGTGCTATACTTGCAAATGTATCACTTGTTGCAACCGGAAACAAATTCTCTATCCTCCAAAGCTGTGTGTTACGGACATCAGATAGATCTTCAGTTGACTCTGCGGTCATCCCATCAAGTCCTAGCTGCTACAGACCACAAAATAAGTCAGCCTACCATCTATCCTAGTGTATCATAGATCAACCCTTTTACTCAACAACTGTAGGTAAGAATTATGTTACACTTTTCTTAGAATTTTCGTAGAAAGTAGAAGCCACGATTAACCTTTGCACAATCTGCCTCGACGGGGAATCGAACCCCGGACACACGGATTACCGGTCCACTGCTCTACCACTGAGCTACCGAGGGCTGACGATCAGGTGCGCAATTTAATACATGACTTCTGCTTGGTTCGCGACGTATTGCCAATAAGCTCACAGTATCTGTCCTGGTGTTGCAGATTGGCTCACTCACTCGTCACTTCCCAATGAACCGAAGTATCTGTCCTCCTGATGTTCAAAGGGCGATGGTAAATTACTGGTGGTTTTTGTGACTACCGTGATTTTCGTAGAAAGTAGAAGCTACGATTAACTTTTGCACAATAATCTGCCTCGACGGGGAATCTAACCTCGGACACACGGATTACCGGTCCAAATGTGTCTTTGACAGTGTGTTTTATTGTATTCTTTACACTGATACAGGGAACTCAGTGTTTCAAAGTATTAATATGTCAGCGCCTCCTCTTTGGTCTGTACTTTGCACCTCCAAATTGCTCAGTGCTATTGATCGAATAACATATATAGGTTGCTGTGTCACATCAGGTGTTCGCATTGCCCAAAAGCTTACTTCTGCCATTACTAAGGCTCGTGCTGTTTTTCAGGTCTCCGGCCGTTAGTGGGGGCTGCACGAGATAAAGTTGTTAGCCAAGAGGAGTGTTTGCAACAATGCCTTACGCTTAGTTAACTGAATTTGAGGTTACAATCCTGTCACAGTCTCCAATCGTTTCTACTCTAACGGTCCTGGTTTCACCGTACCCTTACTGTTTAGGAATGGTGGTTTAGCCCTTTGCAGATTATTGACCCACGTGTGCAAACAGATGTAGATGGAAATCGCCATCCCAACCTACTGCGTGAGTTCATCACAGTCAAAATATTCGTGAAAGACTGCGGTAATGTTTGTACCGACCATGGGGATACTAGCTTGATGCTAATGGCGACCAAATTGCCTGTCTCTATCCTCGTCCACTGGCTTTCCGTTGAACTGTAATCCAGGGTAAGATGCCGGGTTTCCAATTGGAAGCCCGCTGCTAAGATAATGTTTTTACTCCACTGCATGTGATCAAACAACATCATGTGCACCGTAAGCCGATTGCGACTGTTTTCTTCAATTTGTGAAGCGCCTGGGATCAGTCTTTCACATTATCTCTTGATCCACGTGACCGGAAAGTTGTACCTTGAATATATGTGACCGTCTTCTTTTCTTTTGTATTGCGATCCGACAGCTAACGTGTAAAATGATGCTGATGGTGCTTTGCTTTCCCCCATGACCCATTGGGTTATGCTACCTGGTACCTTCTTGGTACCTTTAATTTCACCCATTACTGATAGGTGACCGGTTGCCAATCTATTTTTCCAACTTGGGAATACTCTATCTCGTTCTGTCTTGCGATGTCCGCGTATCACATCAGATCAACCGGTATGTCACAGATTTGTTACTCTTTTAGTGTGCCACGTGTTACCTCATCGTTTGTTTAGCATTAACGCTTTATTTTGGGATTGCTCTAAAAGGTACCGTTGGTTGGTACATATGGTTCATAAACACCAGCATTCTAGACTAACTCTGTCTCAGCCATAGTACACTGTGCCATTGACCCGTTTAAGTTCCGAAAGGTCTGTAAACAACTTAAGCGATCTCCAGCTCTTCATTTCTGTTACCTTGTGTTGGTCAAACTGCTAAACGCTTTTGGTCATTTCTATGTGGAAGTACTGCGGAATTCCCAACATGTCTTGTAAGAAAGCTTCACTTTGGTTGATCCCAGATCAATAATGTATCGGAGGCAGAAAACACGCGAGCGACCACATTTCTCGCTGCTTCTGATTCACAAGAGTTCTCCAACTATTCCATTTGATCAGACCACTGAGTTGGACTGTCTCGCGTTGTTGAGAAACATATCATTTATTTATTTATTATCATTTCCATACTGGCGATCTCTCGGCGTTTCAATACACTCTCCACTTTGGCGCTGAGACACTTGGAAGATGAAGCCTGGCAACCGGTCGGCATACCACTGTTGCCGTGGGTTGTGGATGCAACTTCACCGTGCACTTTACTGAAGGTTTAAGAAAAACCGTTCTCAGACGGATACCATTCTTTCTGAGTGCATCTTTCTTTAACCTGGAGAGGTATTTTACCAATAGGGTGAAACTCACTTGTGTGCCTGTGAGTATCTCTGTGGCTCGTTTCTCAATCTTTGTGTACAATTATTGTGTACAATGCACGACTTTTAATCCTTGCTATCATGGTCAAGGTGGGCCCGATTCTCTCATCCATGTTGTCTGCGTACCCATCTGATCATCGGAAGTATCCATAACCGTTATTAGATGGGATGCTTTGCAAATATAACACCCGCTCTAACCCGGGACGATCTGGGTCCAATGTAAATTCAAAGCACGGGCATCCCTAAAACCGATCTGTGCTCAGAAACAAAATGGCTTACCACTGTATGTATGCTTTGGATTACATCATCACATGATTTCTCGTTGTCCTCCATGTCTGAATTCAGCTGTTTGTTTGTTTTTACATCTACAAAATTTATTCTTTATCGTTTTGATAATTTATAACGCACATGCAAATGGCCTAGGGATTTCTTTTGGCTCGATTTACTGGCGCTTTTTTGCCTCCCGATTTCGATACCGTTTGATCTACGCGTTGGTTTTAGATTAGCTTCTCACTACTAAAGAGCTGATTCGAAGTGCACAGGCGAGCTTGACGTATTGTGCTGTGGAAGAAGATTCGGCGAAATGCTCAGAAGAGAGCACCGGGGTTCGCCACCAGTACTGCTAATTCGTAAGAGCTGCCTCTAACTAATCGGTACCTGGGAATCCGTTTTACCCACCTATACCACCCAGTCGTATTCGTTCAGCTAGCTCGTTTGAACCCTGGGTTACTTACCTAATATTACTTATTTTGCTTGCTATAGTTTGACATGCTGGTTAAACTTCCGTTCCAGTAATACCAAGTGGACTATGTATGAGAGCTTCAATTTTATTATAATTCCCGGGCCCTATTTTTCACACATTTACATCAAATGTTCAAGGATTGCGTTACTTTGCCACCTGTTGTAGTTTTCTATCTTTTCCATGCGGTATGAATTTGCATGCGTCTTTTCATCTTGCCCTAAACGAATTGCATATTTTACTCCGTTTTAAGACTTCCCATGTATCTTTTAGCGGCTGCTGGCTTTATTACTTCACCGCTACGCACTGCTCACATCAAAACTGCCGCACGTTCAGCTGCCGATGCAGTTCCCAGTACCGCGTCGGAGCCTAAACCACGTTCGCCACCACCACCACCACCACCCTCCCTGGAGAAGATAGAGGTTTTTGTGGATGGGAAGCCAGTTATGTGTGACCCAAGGATGACTGTGCTACAAGCCTGTGCAGTCGCTGGTGTGCAGATTCCTAGGTAACTGCAATGCGTTCATTATGTTGAATAACTGTTTCTTCAATCTCATCGCTTCTTTTCTTGACGTATGGCGCAAGCCTTTGGAGTGACGTAAGTTAGCGACAATGGCCACAGATGAGCTCTGTTCCAATTCATTGGATACATGTCCAGGGTGCTTTCTTGGGCGAACCATGTCGTCATGATCTTCGCGTCTGTCAATCAACCAATCTGCCAGCAACACCTTAGGTGGGAAAGCAAATATCACTGTTGGGTGATGTATTACCGGCTCGGTTAACCCGGAGAAATCTTTGATGGAAAATATCTATGTACTGTGGTCGTTTGGCGTCGTATAATAGCGGACTCGTCATAGGTAATCTGCTCACTTGTCGGCTTGCTCACGGTGCTTCTTTCCGTACAGACTGACCAGCGTGGAATTTGCGATTAATGACCCGCAATTACTCCATGTGACACTTTCGAACTGATGTCAAACTCGAGGGTGGACGGATGATGTAGACGAGTAAGGAAACTTGCGGCTCATCAAACCACCTGTTGCTGCATTTCCATTGGATGTGTTGACATTCGGCGTTGCTTTTCACCTTAGCGAGTAGATCCTGAGGGTTTCTGGTGCTGTCCTTTCCCATGAACCTTAACATTGATCGCTTCAAGGTGTCCACAAATCGTCCAGCTTGGCCGTTGGATTGTAAGTTGAATGCTGTCACATGTGTAGGATATTCTTTTGTCCGCGGAAGGTGAAGATTTCTACAAAACACAATATTGTGACATTGTAGAAGACTAAAGTTTGTGGTACCTCACGTACAGAAGAATGTTTGCACAATCAGTGTCTTCACACTGACACTTAAGTTATATTGATAGCTTCAACCAGTGGCACATTCGTCCAACACTACCTTGCCGTTCGCTTCGTCCTTAGCAATTTCACTAGAGAACTATAGTCTCCGGCTGAAGTTTATTCCCTCCATTCATTTTCCTAATGAAGTAATGTATTTTCCAAGCAAATTCACTTTCCTTTTGGTACCCATCTTAGGATTGTTGTAGACTTACATGATACCCTTGGGTTTATTTGTAATCCGGATGAAAATGCTCTTCTGTCTTCCTTGACTGGAGGACCTAGTGAGGCACACTCGGACTACTAGACTCCACTCCATGCTTTGTCTACAAGATCCACTCGTATCTGGTATCTCAGCTGGCCCTGCACTTTCAGATTTGCGCAACATTGCTTTTGGCTAATTTTTCTGATAGCACTGAACAGAGTCGCTTGTTTTACGGCGTAATCGAGGCCATGACACAGCTGCGGTAACTCATGTTTACACGTTTTAGCTTTCTCTTCACGAAAAGCGAATGAGTGTAACCATAGACAAGCGCTTTTACGGAGATAATTTTAGGCTTTTTTACTTGGAAATGCTGTGATATCTTCCCTCGTCACACTTTCGGAACGACAACAGTTTCCACAAACAGTCTACAGTCATTCATAGTGGGAAATGGCGTCACTGTTCTAATTTTGTCTATGTGCACGAATGTGACCGGCTTCGCTGGTGGAACCAGTTGATGCTATCTCTCCAGACGTACCCCGCAGTGTTGCAGTCAATGTAGTGCCTGCGGTCAATGGCAGCCCACACAACATTCAACCACAGTTAGCTTGATGCCAGGCACAACTCAGCGACTTTTTCTCGGTCTTTCCTTCCGGAGCTACTGAAGTGTAGCCCATGAGATACCGGTTTTATGTGCCACGTACTTCAAAACTATAGTTTAGGAGGTGGATCTCTTACGTTGTAATCGGAGGACTGTGCAAGCTGATATGACATTTTCTGAGACACAATCGACCAGCAGTGACTTTCGAACTGTCAAAACCCACAAAATTTAGCCATACGGCGTCACGCGGTAGTTATTTAATACGAATAGAAAAGCCGGCCGTCAGCGGCATAATGCTGTCAGCACTTTGCGATTGGGCTTCACTGACATACGTCTATCAGTGCAGTTCAGCTGGATAACCACCACCCATACACCGAAGTGCAGGAGCTCCAGTCATGACGATTTGCGTTGCCAGGATGATGTGGCTGAAGAGTATGAGCGAACATATGCAGCAAAGGCCGAGTCTGCTGATCCAAGCGTTGTTCTCAGATATGGTTGCCGTGTCATGTCACGCCAGGACTCGCACACCACAGAGCTTTGGTACCCCCTCCATTTCTTGTGACTCGTTTGCCGATTTTGACCTCTGACTCTCTCTTGGTTTAATCTTTTTTCTTCACACCATGAACTCGTTTGGCACATATTTTCGCATTACGCATTGAGGCATCTGATTCCACCGCGCTTCAGTGCCCGGTCATATTTGATCAAATGAATTGTTCTTGACTGATTCAGCACCAATGTGACATGATGCCAAGGGAGCATGGATGAACTGGTGGATAGGCTCGATCTGTTTGAGTCAATCCATGTTATTTAATAGTGGCTTCCAATGAACTTCAGAGGTTAGGGGCCTTGTTAGACATGAACTTATCGAACAATCAGAATTTCTCCGCACTCCATCTTTATCTACTGCTGCTGCCTTTTGCCTCCGATAAACGTAAAGTTGCTTCCTCTGACAATATCATGATATGCGTTTTTCCTTTTCTCATCTCCTACACGTCGCTTACCGTTTGTTGTATGTCACTATCAGGACCAGTCTGTCAGTGGTACCCACATGCACCGCAGCTAGGGACTGCGTCGTATTGAACTGTATCGACCCTACCGACAAATTACCCAATAATGTATCCTCATACTGCCGAACTTGCACTTACACCATTGGTCGCCTGAGAAACTACGTCGTCTTTAACTGACTTTTTATTATAGCACTGCATCACGATGTACTTGAATCTTCCTCCTTTTGGAACCTGTAGGCTTTCAACCAGTAACTCCATGCAATCAAAAATAACCTCTCCATATCTATTTATCCACTCCTAGCCATAACTGTTGTATAATGGGTGTTACGATGCTGACGCTTCCCATCTACGTTCTGCTCTCAATTGCATTGCTATGCCTCCTGCTTGCTTTACTCTCCGCTTACTGTTGTCAGAATCGGGGGCTTAATTTGACACCCATTTCTGTACTCACCACACTATTGTTTTTGAATCAAGTCATTGTTTTCCGTTATTCTCTTTCCTTTTATCCTCGCTATACTTTTACGTCATCGATCCAGTAAAACGCTACTAACTTCACCCTTAGGTTTTGCTATCATGAACGTCTTTCCATCGCCGGAAATTGTCGAATGTGCCTTGTTGAGATTGAGAAATCTCTTAAGCCGGTTGCAAGCTGTGCCATGCCTGTGCTACGTGGTATGAGCATCAAGACAGACTCTCCAGCAACAAAGAAGGCTCGCGAAGGTGTTATGGAATTTCTTTTGGTTAACCACCCCTTGGACTGCCCCATCTGCGATCAAGGCGGCGAGTGCGATTTGCAGGTTTGTTTTCTGTTACATTTGTACACTTCGAGCTCTCTCTTGGAGTTTTGTCATTTCTGCCATTTTATTGTCATTTCTGTTTCTTACTTCTTTTTCCACCGACACAAGAAAGTTGAACAGTAACTCAGCCTTTGCACTTTTCACAGTGTAGGCAACCTCATTTACCAGACATTTCCATCCGATGGGATTATTCCGGGTTCATTCCGTCCATTCGCTTGTTACAATAATAACCATAATAATAATGTATATTTTCGATTTTATGGATCGACAGCCATTGAATCCTGCCTCCGTCACTCATCACTAGTTCGGGTCACGTGCATGAGACCAGTCTTCTAAACCCATTTTATTCCCCAATGATAAATAACGCACTCGAGTCTTTTCCCTCTATTTTCTTACTTCGTATTTGCTGTGGGCTTAGGGAACTCTCCACGTCAGTCCTGTTTGAGTGTGCTGGGACCTGCCATCCGATGTATGGTGGTTGTGTTGTTCTAAGTCACATGAGCACAACTCTCCATTCCACCGGAATTCCTTATTTTCTTCCCTCTGATAAGTGTGTTGCAGTTTATCTTTCATCTTTCCACATTCACACATTACGGGGATGGTCCTGATCGACTCTGCTTTCCACTTCTGCGACATGAGTCCTCTGGCCATTTTTTCCCAAGCGTGAATGGCTACGCATCCGCTTTGGGTTACTTTTGACACAGGTTGCCAGTTCTGTCAGTCTCCAAGCTACCTGTTTCATTTCCTGTTGTATTGCGACTTCAGTCGCCATTTCCCCAGCAATGTCTCAGATGTCTGGTGTCTATATCACCGGTGAACTGAAGTAACTTTAGTTCAGATCAGCTTAACTCATCAGCAGCCTCAAGTCGCGTTTCGTGAACTTTTCACAGTTAGAATCCACAGTTTATGCGGGACCAAACTGTTTGCGAATTTCCAGTCTACCGTGGAGGTTAATGCGCTAGGCAAAGAGCAACGTAAAGAGTTCCACGATCGATACGAAGGGAAACGGATTTGTCCATCTTTCACCGATATGGTCAAAAGTTGACTTGGTAGTGGACAGCTGTCACTGACTACACAATTGGGTGCCTTTGGTTCATCCCATCTACCAGGCTGAAGTCCACGTGACCCACCTTGTGCTTCACTCAAGACGTCATAGGACATGGCTCGCAGTCGGCACCATTGCGCGTCTGCTGTCGTCTCGTAGCCGGACTGCCTGTCTAAAGCGTATTTGATGCTGAGTTATCTGCGGAGTAATGGCTGATTATGACGCGGGGCACTGAAAGCCGGAAGGAAGCTGTCTCGCTGATGCCACTATATATATATATATATATATATATATATATATATATATATATATATATATATATATATATATATATATATATATATATATATATATATCAGTCATTGGAATTGATGCTTCGCTGAAGTATAAATATGGTGACATACAGAAGCATAAGGAGAGAGACGAAGGAACCTCGAGTAAAATCTTAATGCTTTAAGCAAATATTCCGGGTTAAGACGACCACATACGGTCACAAACAGATGGCTATCGTGTAAAGAAAAGGCGGCATCCGCGAGACAGCTTCCTCCCGACTGATGTTACATTCATGCTGCTTCTTCACCGCAGTTGGGCTAAATCAACTTATAAATAATGCCCATGGAAGAGTAAAACACAGTGTTGCAAAGAGATCTCTTTTCGGTAGTTCACATCAGGCAATTACAACTACAGGACTGATAAATGCAATAGTAAACTGGTGAAGGCAACAATGAGGACGGATGGGATGATTTGAACAGATTTAGCATGTTCGTTTGATGCTCGAATCGATTTAATCTGGTGACATCGTGATAGGGCTAACCGACAGCAAAATAACTTGTGTCAACAGAAAAGGCAAAAATACTAACCATATAAAATTGGTTAATTACTTAAATAAATAGCACCCGGTTATGCGTGATACTCCGGGGAAACTTATCATTAGGGCCATGGCAAAGTCAAGGGTTGCACAAGCACTCTATCCTTGCATAGCTCTGGTTGTGTTAGCCGGATCGCGATGGCTTCAGCTGTCTGCAAGAGGCGTTTCCTTAGCCCTTTCGGGTATCGCCTCGGTACGGCATAATAGACTTTGAAAGCATCTTTTGTCAAAATCTGATGTCCACTTAGAATCAGATGTTCCATGATCGAGCTTCGGTTTATACAGGATTGCTTACAACACAATCAGTATCCGAAGGCTTATTGGAAGTCGCTGAGACGATGTCACGTGCGCCCGATGACAAAGTCCCTTAAACGCTATGCTCACAATCTGTTAGATGCTGTTCAATCCCGACTACCTGAGTGGGAACGGCTGTGTGCACTTTACCAACCAGGTGTCGAAGAGCTTGATGCAACCCAGCGTGAATCTTTTAAACAATACTTGCGAAGGGTGTGTACAAATGTACAAGAAAGGAAGTACACAAAGCTCCTAAAAAGCTTGCATCCAACGCAACCGGAACCGAAATTCCCACCCAATCCAGAGAGTTGTGTGCATAATCTGTCCAATATACCGTTGAATCAACTTCAGCTTGAGGCATTATCCCTCGGACCAAAATTCTGTTTTACCCAACCCGTCAGTGGACAAGTTCATATAGAAACGCAGTTTGAAAACTTAATGCACCAACTAACTGAATTAACACCTACTTCTCCTCTGGCCAGAGACACTTTCAAAACCACCTTAGTGCACCTCTGTCAACAGTATCTACACTGCGAGAAGAGATCTTCAAACATTCTGTCCAAGAAGCATCGAGAAGCAATCAAAGAATTGAGGTCAAATCCCGATCTTATTCTTTCTAGACCTGATAAAGGATCGGGATGGGTGCTAATGGACAAATCAGATTACATTTCAAAATTACAAGTTATCTTGCAAGACACGAGCAAATTCTTGCATGACACAATCCAGAAGGACAAGACGCAGACGATGAAGCAAAGATTACAAAGATCTTGAAAGAATTAAAACAGATGAATTTGATAACCGATATTCAACTGCAGCAGTTAACTCCTGTTGGCTCCCAACCTCCTCGGCTCTACGGCTTGCCTAAAGTACACAAGCCACAAGTCCCTCTACGTCCAATAATTGACATGTCCGCTTCTGCACACCACTTAGTTGCGAAATGGATTGTGCAGTTATTGGAACCTGTACGTAAGGAGCTCTCTATTCATTCTTTGAAGGATTCGTTCGAATTCGTTGATAAAGTTAAAGACCTGAAGTTAAATGGTAAACTGATGCTTTCTTTTGATGTAGAATCCCTTTTCACAAACGTCCCATTGTTGGAAACTGTTAATTTCATCTGCGAGTATATAACGGAAAGGAACCTAAACGTTGGCATTCCAGTGCCTAAGCTCAAGGAGTTAATTTTGCGGTGTACCTTTAATAGACAATTCTTGTTTGACGGAATCTATTACAGGCAAATCGATGGGGTCCCCCCTTGGACCTCTCCTTGCCGACATCTTTCTCGCTAAGCTTGAGCGTGGTCCCATCCAAAGGGTTATTGCCTCATTTGATTCTTATTGGAGGTATATGGATGACACTTTCATCATCTGTGATTCTCGCATTGATGTCAACCATGTGCTCGACCAGTTCAACAGTGCACATCCCTCAATGAAGTTCACTAGTGAAATGGAAAATGAAGGTAAGCTGGCTTTTCTGGACGTTTTGTTGAGGAGGCGCGAGGACGGATCACTTGAGCGTAGTGTCTTCCGCAAAGCTACATGGGTTGGACAGTACACACACTTTTCGAGCTTCGTCCCTCTGAAGTACAAACGCAACTTAGTGCGTTGCTTGAATTACCGGGCCACCAAAATTTGTAGTCCGGAAACTCTCGAGGGTGAGAAGGACCGAATTGTGAAAACACTTCTTTCGAATGGATACCCTGAGCCTTTCATCAAAAAGCACGCCATGACCCGTGAGCGCGTTAAGCCCGTAGCAACGGTTCCGAAGAAGGATGTGTTTCTCTCTGTTCCTTTTAAGGGAGATATCGCCTTCGATCTCCTGAACAGGAGACTTTCTAATGCCGTAGCAAGGACCTACCCGGCCGCCCACCCGCACGTAGTTGCGGAGACCGCTCCCTTCATAGCTCAACGTCTTAAAGACAGACTGCCAGTGTCGTCCGAATCGTACATTGTTTACCAGTTTACTTGCACCTGTGGTGCCAAGTACCTCGGGCATACGACCAGGCGTCTGTCGGTACGGATGGCTGAGCATTGTCCAGGGTCACTGCGGAGAGGCACGCTCAGAAGTATCAACAGCTCGATCATGGAACATCTGATTCTAAGTGGGCATCAGATTTTGACAAAAGATGCCTTCAAAGTCTATTATGCCGTACCGAGGCGATACCCGAAAGGGTTAAGGAAACGCCTCTTGCAGACAGCTGAAGCCATCGCGATCCGGCTAACACAACCAGAGCTATGCAAGCATAGGGTGCTTGTGCAACCCTTGACTTTGCCATGGCCCTGATGATAAGTTTCCCCGGAGTATTACGCATAACCGGGTGCTATTTATTTATGTAATTAACTAATTTTATATGGTTAGTATTTTTGCCTTTTCTGTTTACACAAGTTATTTTGCTGTCGGTTAGCCCTATCACGATGTCACCTGATTAAATCGATTTGAGCATCAAACGAACATGCTAAATCTGTTCAAACCGTCCCATCCGTCCTCATTGTTGCCTTCACCAGTTTACTATTGCATTTATCAGTCCTGTAGTTGTAATTGCCTGATGTGAACTACCGAAAAGAGATCTCTTTGCAACACTGTGTTTTAAATCAACTTACACTTAAACTAGGTCTTTTTAAGGTTTATAAATTTCATTTCACTTTATTTGGTTTGTTCTGCCTATCTGACTAATCTTCTAATAACTGGCCACGTTGTTTACGCTAATTGTGGTTATCTTCATTAACTTTATTGCATTTGTAGCATTTTGACTAACTTCTGGACATTTTGTACTTATCGCGGATTTGTCACTACCAA